ATATAATAAAAAAATTTCATCGCGATCTGACTCTTCTTTCGAAAGTTATCGTGTATACGGACGGCCGGACGGACACACAGACCGATTTTAGTAGTGTACTCACTTTTTGAGTACACAAAAATGAAATTCAAAATTTTGAATTCGTCTTATTTTGTTTTCTATTCAATACAATATTATTAACTTATTTTTTTTGAAATATTTCGAATAAAATATATTATTTCTTACTAATTTTTGAACTCGTTCAAGTAATAATTGTCGTGCTTTGTCAACACTTTCTTTTGTACCCATTAATTTAACAAAACGACTTTCATCAACAAAAGGAAATCTAATATCACAACCTGTTTGTTCTTGTATTTCAGTTAAACGTATTTGATTTTTTCCAATTAATTGTTTATAATATTGTGGATCTATTTCAAGTTCTAAATATGTTGTATTATTATTTCGTAAATCATCAATAACTGCTTGTACTTGACTACGAACTAATTCAACTTCTTCTGGTGGACCTTCTAATGCAATATGATCATCACGAAAGAATATTCGAACATCTGGATGAGATTTTTTTATTATATCAACATTAGCACTACGTTCACCTTTAACAACACTATGCATCCAATGTGGTGCATTTATTTGAACAGCTGTTAATGCATTAGCCTTTAAAATGAAAAAAAGAAAAAGATTTATTTAAATTTTAACAGAAATAATAGAAAATAAATAAAAAAAACAAAAAAATTAATTTACCATTTTATAAATCATTGTTATAGCTTCACCAATTCTAGTTGTTTCACCAATAACTTGTATTGTTGGTGAATTTTCTTCTTGATTTGGAATACGAACAACAACATTTGTTTTATCGAATATTTCTTTTAGACCAGCACCTTTTTTACCTAATATAAAACGATGTTGTTCACATGGAATTTCAAGTGGAAATGTCATTATTTTTCCTTCCTAAAATAACAAAAAAAAAAAAAAAAACAATTTTTCAGAAAATATTTGCTTTTATATAAAATGTATATAAAGTATATGTTCAAATCGTATTTCTCTGACCATCAGACACTTTAATAAAAGTTCAGCAAAATTTAATCTTTATAGTTTGAATAGAAATGAATTGTATGTTACATCAAATACTTATAATGAAAATAGAATTGACTTACGAGGGAACTACCTCAAGTGATTCACCGCTTTTGAGCTCATACTTTGGGAATAAGTAGGAGACCCCGACACTAGAATAATCCTAAGAGGACTTCGGCCCATGCACCTGTGGGGCTGAGT